GTGAGTGAGTGAGTTTGTGAAAAATCGCTGATTGTGACTCTCATGAAGTGAAATAAACAGGTTTAATATGTCAAACACATTCTTTGCAACCTCTTCTTGTATCCTACCAATTCAAAATTTGATCATGGCATCTAATTATTTCATAATTTAGAAAAACATTGTTTTAGCTGAAATGAGTCTTTGCAACCTTGGCCTGAACTACGGCAGAACTTCCCTGAACTTCAACAGACCTTCTCTGAATTTCCACAGAACTTCCCTGAACTTCAGCAAAACTTCTCTGAACTTCGGCCAGGCTTCCCTGAACTTCGGAGGACTTTCCTGAACTTCGGCAGGACTTTCGGCAGGGCTTCCCTGAACTTCATCAGGACTTCGCTGAAGTTCGACAGGCCTTCCCTGAAGTTCGACAGGCCTTCCCTGAACTACGGCAAGACTTCCCTGAGCATTAGTAGGACTACCCTGAACTTGGAATCTTGGAATTGAAGTTGTCATTTCAGTAGTAGAATTATTATAATTAACTATTGTATAATAATATTGTGTTTACGAATATGTTCAAAACTTCAAAACTTCCCATTTTTCTAATTTACAATGCTTGTTGGTCTTGGTGTATTTTGAATTTGGGTGTGGTTTGAACGGGTGTGGATTCAGTATCAACGGAAAAGCATTAACTTTCACCTTAAATCTTGAACCAGGTTTACCCATATAAGACCTGGTTTAAGGCTTAAGCGGAGGTGAAAAAATCGGCCCTGAGACTGACACAATGACGCTCGTACATTTTCTATTATTATTTAAATTATAAATGATGCAAAATTCAGCACCGAAACAATTTTGAAAATAATTCCAATATAATTGAGAGAAGTGTACCATGTGCATTATAACAAGAGTTGTGAGAAGAATTATATGATGATAGGATGAGGGTTCTTGGTCCAATTCTGATTCAAAATTAGTTCTGAATTTTTTTTAAGAGTGCTCTGATGAGAATTCCTTGGAAATCCCGGAAACACCAAAGATGATCTTTGTGGATAGTTCTAAAAGAATTCTGGGGTCATTTCTAAGGATACTTCGAAGAGAACTTTAAAGAGCTCGAAACAAGAGGGAATTCCAATGGAATCGATTGTTGAGGGTTCAATCTCAAAAGAATTCTTAGAAGAGTTTCAAGGAAATTTTGAGGAGAATACGTAATGAATTTTTATTGTTCTAAGTAAAAATTTATGACGTTTCTAAGGTTAACTGCAAGAGAATTCTAAGGAGAATTAAAGTAAATTTAAAATGGATTCGTATTTTCCTCAAAATTGCCCTTTGCTCGCTTTCTACTTTCTATATACCATTTTCAAAATGCCGTACTGCATAGGAACTATCAGCTCCATACTTTCATCTCCTCTCCATCGTACAAAATGTCCACTTTAAGTCTGATACTTGACATTAAGCATCTCAATCTAGGAAAATAATCTATTTCTAAAACTTTTGTTGATTGATAATATTATTTTTGTTAGGCTAATTTTAGAGGCAAACTTAAGGGAAAGGGAATGATTCGAAACAAGTTTTTGCGATCATTCTGAAGAACTTATGTAAAAAGTTCTGAGCGAATTATGAGAGATATCTACCTAGATATATCAAAATTTTAAAGATTTCAAACGCAGAATATAATGCACGTCCTTTAAAAAAATTATGTTGTTGTAATTATCCTTACTTTTTTTTTTTTTTTTATTCTAGTCATTTCTCTTGGGTCATTCGTGACTTGTCCGGGGGTGAGATTTGAACTCGTGACTTTGGCGTGAGAGGTATGGATGCTAACCACTACGCTGGGGTCGCCCACTCTTGGTTACTTAGTTATTATTTAAAAGTCACCATTTCCGTAATTTTTGTCACTAAAGTCACTACTATTATATCGCATCAGCTCTACTCTATTGTCGTATTGCATGTGCTCCATTTTTCAGCTCTTCCTTCCTTAAAATGATGTCTGTAGCTTTTGTAGGTTTTGGTATTAGCTACAACTTTTGTAAATATTTTAAATCTGTATCTATTATGTATGTTGACCCAGAGCGAGCAGAACCAACCATTGTTTTTCAGTGAATGGCAATTACATTAACTGAAAATCAAAAACAAGTGCTGCTAGCTCTAGTTCGTCATACATTAGAGATACAGATTTGAGATATTTTCAAAAGTTGTAGCTAATATCAAAATCTACAAACGCTTCATACATGTCTTAACGGAATTTTGTTGATAGTAAAAGTTAGAGACAAATTAATGTAAATCAATGTTTCAATTTTGTGACCTTCCCGACAATTACGCAATCGACACTTGTTCGCAGTAGATCGCCATCGGACCAATTACGCTAAATTTGAACCTGTAAATCAGATGATGACTGTTTATAATCATCATTGTGATATGATTGACCTAGATATGCCCTCAACAGAATTAAAAATATATTTCAGAACTCTGCTAAGTCATAGAACATAAGTCCTAATGTTAATATGTAGTCTACGGTTTGATTGATTGACGAATAAATAAATAAATAAACTGCCTCTAAAATACTGGAATTCGGTATATAACTAGTTTATTTTGACTAAAAACAAAATTAAGATTCTAGAAGTAGCTTTCAGTGATACATATGCACGTCTTTTGACGTAGGATTACGTCTTTTGACAACATATTGGGGGTGCAATTAAAAAAAAAAACCAAAAGCGGCCGCGTTACGTAAAGTGGTCAGGTTTTGACCGCTTATAACGCTGTCAATAGCGAATGGATTTTAATTCTAAATAAGCCAATCGATTGGAAATTTTTCTACAATTCTGAAATGAACACTTCATCTATTTTCAACAGGTCACTATTGAAAATTACACGAATCTCCAACTGTTGCAATGGTGATCAAAATTAACACCGATTGTGTGCAAAAAGCACTTTCCCTAACACAGATTCAAAAATCGAATTCCATCTAGTCTCGCCGAACGGTGTATACAACAAATGACTCCCCACAAGCAGCTAGCTATCAAGGCTGCCCTCAAGAGCCCTCAATTCACCGAAGAAGGAGAAAGAAGCCGCACCTCTACTGATCGGATTCAGTTGCTCGTCGTGAGCCGCTGTGGGCTATCTATCTCAAGCGCGATACCCTTGTTCCAAAAAAACTTACAGCTCACCAGCCTGATCCCTAATAGCTCAGAATTACTCAATCATCGCGACAAAACGGTCCTGTTCAGGACCACCATAAATTAGTGTTGTTTAAGAGTTACTTTTCATTGAACGTTCGCTCGCCTTGCTGCCAGTCACATCTCTTTGATAATGTAGCCAGCAACCAAACGTTTGTGGTCAAATGCGTAACAGTATTGATGTTACACATAAAAATTCTCGCAATGATCGAATACCACATGACCATGTCAATTAACCAGGAGCAGTTCGAATTAAGGTAAGGTTTTCTCCAGAACGCTAGAAAAAGCAAAAAAAAATCTAGGATTTATATGATTGATCGACAGACAGACAGACAGACAGACAGACAGACAGACAGACAGACAGACAGACAGACAGACAATCAGACAATCAGACAGACAGACAGACAGACAGACAGACAGACAGACAGACAGACAGACAGACAGACAGACAGACAGACAGACAGACAGACAGACAGACAGACAGACAGACAGACAGACAGACAGACAGACAGACAGACAGACAGACAGACAGACAGACAGACAGACAGACAGACAGACAGACAGACAGACAGACAGACAGACAGACAGACAGACAGACAGACAGACAGACAGACAGACAGACAGACAGACAGACAGACAGACAGACAGACAGACAGACAGACAGACAGACAGACAGACAGACAGACAGACAGACAGACAGACAGACAGACAGACAGACAGACAGACAGACAGACAGACAGACAGACAGACAGACAGACAGACAGACAGACAGACAGACAGACAGACAGACAGACAGACAGACAGACAGACAGACAGACAGACAGACAGACAGACAGACAGACAGACAGACAGACAGACAGACAGACAGACAGACAGACAGACAGACAGACAGACAGACAGACAGACAGACAGACAGACAGACAGACAGACAGACAGACAGACAGACAGACAGACAGACAGACAGACAGACAGACAGACAGACAGACAGACAGACAGACAGACAGACAGACAGACAGACAGACAGACAGACAGACAGACAGACAGACAGACAGACAGACAGACATACAGATAGTTTCATGAGTTGAGGTAGGGTCCAGGTGTGGGAAATGCCTTCCTGGCGTCGGTAGCATTGGTGCTCAGCACGGAAAACAAAATCGACGGAAAACAAATCCAAGGAAAAAAAAAATTAAGTGAAAATTCCCCAAATGGAACATTTGGTTAATTTTCACTTAAATTTTTGAAGTGTCAAATTCAAGTGAAAATTACCCAAATAGAACACAGCCTTATTATATGAGTGACCTACCCTTATAAACGGGTACCATACACAAACGATACCATAGATGGTGCGACCATACCGCATAGAGTTGGGATGATATTCAGAATTGGTGGTTAGGCGTTTTTTATGGTTATCGTTTATGCGGGTACGCTTTGGCGATGTTTGAGTCAAAACCCATTCAACTTTGAGTCGATCTCATCGGCCGTGTGTGTGTGTGTGTGAGGAGATTGTTGCCCTCCACGCTTTCTCGAAGTGCATTCGGTCGTTCGCTGTAACCAACGCATGTCATCACAACGCGAATCTCGAAAGCTTTCGCAGCTGTTTGTCGTTTTGTCGTTCAAATAGCGGTCCCCTCTCGAACATTCTTCGAATTCAAAAATGCAAAAGGAATTCAAAACGGGAGTGGAACTGGTCCTATGTTTGTCTTTCCTCTTAGCATAACTAAATGTCTGATGATATGGTACTCACCGAAGCAGTCTTTCGTAATGTTCTGCAAACCAGTCGGAGATGTTTTGTTTTTGAAAATCTCTCAACCATTCCATCAGAAATACTAATTATCATTGTTTTTCTTGTACTTGCAGGAATATGAAGTGTTTGTGCTGCTAAGCGGAAGAGTTCGGCGAAGAAGAAAATGTGCTCAAATCCAAGTGGATCCATTCCGCTGGTAGTATTGTTGAAACCGAGATCGCTGGTTTGATGTGTTTTCCGAGTTCGGACCATCGCGAGTGTACCGGCCATCAACGGGTTTCTTTTGGTTTGACTAAGGCCCTCGAGTGCATCAGTGAAAATGCCGGTTGTTTTGAACGGATCGATCCCTCTGCCCAGCATTCGGATCTACACCAGTGCCAGTGTGCTGTTGGTGTCGCTGTGTCTGTATTACGCGATCAGTGTGACGAGTGATCCCTTCTGGAGGCAGCAAAGTAATGCCACCACCGCAGTGACTTCCGGTGCAAGCAATGTGAATGCGATCCTCTCCGGTACGGTGCCATCGGAAGCGGCGGAGGCGGCTGCTGCTGGTGCGGTTCGGGATGTGGCTGCCGGTGGTGTCGGAAATGTGGGGGTGGGCAACAAATTGGACTCGTTGTTGACGGTGAAGGAGATCAATGATTTCGAAGAGAAGATTCTGGCGGCAACGGATGCCGACCTGAAGAAAATGATGGAACAGGAAGCGGAACTGCTGGAACGGTCCTCAGCGAACGATTCCCGAACGATCGGAGCGCATCTGAAGGATATTGCTTCGTTCATGGGGAGTGAGCCGATTTGTATTTGGGTGAGTAGACGTATAAAAGCAGTTCCACGCCAAATGACTAGTCGGATCTGATGCGACCTGCGACTTTGCATCATTTTTTGTTGTTGTCAATGGTTCAGATTTGAGCTACAGTTCGCCCATTTTGAATCTCGCAAAAATCTTCAAAATGGCGTATTCGATATTTTTCAACAAATCATAACTCGAAAACGTCACTTTCAATCGAAATGGCGTCTGAGACAAAGTTATAAGAAAAAATAATTGATGTTCCGGAAAAATATACACGGTAAACAATATCAAGCAATTTAGTTAAAAAAAAAGCCATTATAGTGTTTAAAATTTAAATAAAAAAATACCATCTTGATTATTTTTTTAAATATTTTTTATTGAAAATATTATTATATCTTCTGTGATATTTTCAAGTAGGACACTTAAGGTGATACTCTAAGGAAGCCTTAGCGTGAAACTTCAAAGGCAAAAATGTCAGCTTCCATAAAACATACAAATTTGAAATTGCTACTCTCTGTTTGTAGTAGCACAGCAAACAAGGAGTAGCAATTTCAAATTTGCATGTTTTGTGGAAGCTGACATTTGTGCCTTTAAAGTTTCACGCTAAGGCATCCTTAGAGTATCACCTTAAAAAATTACAAAACATCAACTTTCCTAGCTTGTACCCCCATGTTTGTCTTTTTCATCAGAGTGTAGCTTAGTTCGAGATCAAGAGCACATTACCCTGTCATCCATTTCTTACAATTTGTTACCCCTAGCCTCGAGATAGCCGCGATTAAAGGGTGATACGGTCAAAATTTGGTCAATATCAACTTGACGTATTTCTTTCAATTTTGCGTTTAAAAAACCTGAACACCCCTCATTTTGAAGGTGTGTGTGTGTAGAATGTTGCTCCTATTTTGATTTTGGAATTCACTCTTCAGTTGTCAAAATGCCGTCCAAGGAAGAAGCGGCGTATCAAAATTTTGCTCGCGCATCGCGAAAATCCGAGCTACTCGCACGCAAAGTTGGCAAAATCGCTAAAAGTTGCCAAATCAACCGTTACAAATGTAATTAAAGTGTTTGGGGGAACGTTTGTCGACAGCCAGGAAGTCTGGATCGGGGGGAAATCGAAAACCGGAAGCCGCTGAGACGACAAAGAGAGTTGCCGGTAGTTTCAAGCGAAACCCTAACCTCTCTCTCCGAGATGCCGCAAATAAGCTGGGTGTATCGTCTACAACCGTGCATCGAGCCAAAAAACAAGCCGGACTATCGACTTACAAGAAGGTAGTGACTCCAAATCGCGATGATAAACAAAATACGACGGCCAAAGCGCGATCCCGGAGGCTGTACACGACGATGCTGACGAAGTTTGACTGCGTGGTAATGGACGACGAAACCTACGTCAAAGCCGACTACAAGCAGCTTCCGGGACAGGAGTTTTATACGGCAAAAGGAAGGGGAAAGGTAGCAGATGCTTTCAAGCACATGAAACTGTCAAAGTTCGCAAAGAAATATCTGGTTTGGCAAGCCATCTGTACCTGTGGCTTGAAAAGCAGCATTTTCATAGCTTCCGGGACTGTCAACCAAGAAATTTACGTGAAAGAGTGTTTGAATAAACGTCTGCTGCCTTTCCTGAAGAAACACGGTTGTTCCGTACTGTTTTGGCCGGATTTGGCATCTTGCCATTACGGTAAAAAGGCCATGGAGTGGTACGCCGCCAACAACGTGCAGGTGGTTCCCAAGGACAAGAACCCTCCCAACACGCCAGAGCTCCGCCCAATTGAGAAATACTGGGCTATTGTCAAGCGGAACCTAAAGAAGACCAAAAAAACTGCTAAGGGCGAGCAGCAGTTCAAGGCAAACTGGCTTTCTGCGGCGAAGAAGGTGGACAAGGTGGCTGTACAAAATCTGATGGCAGGGGTCAAGCGTAAGGCCCGGCAATTCGGATTTGGAAAAGCGGAAGCCTAACTGAATATTTTTCCTAAATTTTATACTAATTGAACTTGAAAAAGAAATTTAATTTGATTTTTTAAATAAACGATTTCACCGATTTACACGCGTTTTCCCTTGACCAAATTTTGACCGTATCACCCTTTAATCGGCCCCCGCTTTAGTAACGTTAGTTTTAAGTAATTTTGTAATCTAAACAATGAATATCGGCTCCGCAAAGTTACAGCAAATGAGCCTGGAAAAATAAACGGCTACCTTCAAATCACGCTTTTTCAAAGCTGCCGCCATACGCATTTTTTTCGTAACGTTCTTGGCTATCATTTGGAGGGTGAGCCCCCATGGTTCCAGACAAAGTGTTATTTTGGGCCACCCTACTCTCTATGTTCGCCTCATCAATATGTCCATTCATAACACCTGTGTGATACCAAAACGTAGAGCTCTATCTTCAGCTCTATTTGCTGTTGACCTTTCCCAATAACCTGCGAGCAAGAGCATCACCAAAAAGATTCCAAAAATAACTTTGCTCATATGCTAATCTTTGAGAGTTGAAGTTGTTTCAGACTCACTTCTTCATTAGGTGATTTAGTTTATTTTTGAAAATTCTTCTATTTTGCATAACCACCTACTCAAACGCAACAGAGTATCGTGTACATCCTTTCCAAGAAATTCTATCAAAAGGCGACCGCTTCCTTCGATGAACGACGGTGGGTCATGGCATTTTGGCAAATTTATTGTCCAACAAAAAAAAAAGCGGTTTTTATTAGTGTTTGGGAATGATTCCATGGAGGAGTGTCCCGAATACTCAACACAACTCAGACAACTGGTCCCATGTTGCGACTAGAATCGCCGAAAAGTGGATGAATGTTTTGTTGACATATTTGCCGCACTGCGCTAGCAATTTTACGGCCAGAGAGGTTTCCCAAGAAAATTGAAATCATCAAAATCTCTCCATCTATCGAGGCATCCAGTGTCGTACCTAATTCCCGCTTATAGATTTTACGTAATCCCTAGCCACAGCAGGGCAGGCAATGGAAAGAGCGCCACCGATCGCGTAAGCAAGCCGTGCAAAACCAGTCCCACGACCGGTCCGCGGTCCGGTCCATTTCAGCCCGGTATAATTCCACGCGCAACAAATTGGTGACCAAGTGCGAAAACACGAATCCCCCAAAGACTCACCTGACGACTCATTACGTCCACGCCGCACAGTGGGGCCGCCCTGAAGAAAAGACGGTCAAAAACTTTTTCTCACCTGTTCAGACGTGGTAGAGGTTAGGTGTTTTCTATACTTTCTGATTTTTTTTTTTTAGATATCCGATTCATGTCTTGGACAAAGTTGTAGAACTATTAATTTTGCTCAAGACAGCAAATGTCTACATCTTAACCCTAAAACTCTCGAAAAGTTAAATAGCTCGTCCTCATTATCTTTAAGAGATCGAGTATTCCTATTCAAAATATTTAATGATTTAAAATCCATCACTGAATTTCAAAGTCATGACTATGTTAATAGCAAATTTAACTCCGGTTTGAAAGCATCAAACATGGAGCTAGTTTTCAACATATCAGTAATCATGTCGATGGATGATTTCAGTAAAAATTCCATTTTAGAAGCAGTTAGTCAAAATCATTAAAAATTTCGGTTAGAATTATGGTAGCTAGAATTTTGATTTCGATTTCTGAAGCAGGGTAGCTGTTTGTACCTACGGTGCGTTTCCTAACTGTCGCTTAGAACGAGACATACAGACTTTGCGAGTCTTACATTTCCAAAAATTGGATTGGTGGTAAAATTTGAACACCTAAATTTCTTGGGATCACAGGACAGTCGTCCATTGCGTAAGAGGAATCACCACAATTTATGCATTTTGCTGGCATGTAGCAATTTTTGGTCCCGTGATGCCATCCCTGGCACTTGCGGCACTGGGTGAGGTTTTGGAAATTTCCTCCAATCTTCATAAGGCTAGCTTTTTCTAAGGCCTTTAGGTTGTTTAGTTCACTTGATGTGGATTTCATTTTCATTTTGATTACTTGAACTGACTCAACTTCAAGTAATTTTGTCAATTCATCTACGATCTGATCCAGGGACTCACCACTGGGCAGACCCTTCAAGACAACCTTGAAAAGACGTTCAGTTTTGGTTTTGTAAGTGAAAAAATGATGTTGCTTCTCAGTAAGACATTTGAGAAGACGTTTGAAACCGTCCAAGGTTTCTGCCAATACACGGTACTCACCCCGCGGTCAATTTGCAGTGAAAACTTGAATTTAACGAAGTTCAAAAGTTCCATACGAAGGGCATGCAAACCTGAAGTGGTTATCACAATAGGGAGGACCTTTTCCTTCTTGGTATTAAGCCGGGAATGTTTAATGGAATTATTCCTGGATGATGGATCATTCTCATCATCCGTGAGCATATCATATTGATTGCTCAAATAAATTTCATCAGAAGAGACATCAAGAGATTACCCTTTTCTTTTGCGTTTAGGCGCCATGGCGGCAGAAGAATGTTTCTTCAAATCGGCTTCCAAGCAGATTACTATAAGAATCCGAAGGATCGAAGAGGAATTTTCCAAATCGGCAAGAGAACACGATGCGGACTCTACCCCCGATTTTGTCTGCTTTTTTTTCCAGATTTTGTCAGCCTGAAGATGTTGCTAAAGTTTTTGATTTTTAAGCATGAATTCTCAAGCATTTCGCTTCAAATGACACTTATTTTTTTTTCTGTCGCAACAATAACAGAGGTAACCTCAATTACTGCGACACTGCACAGCTGTATCGAGTCCCTCCCGATAAATGTAATTAGGCGGCGGATAGAGCTGGGATGGCTGCAATACAAGTTATGGGCAGATACCCCATTCAAGAAGAAGGTTTCGTGATCGCCAAAATTAACGGAATATTCATATGCAGTTGCTACACATTCGATGGATGATGGAGCAGTTCCACGAGACGCTGGGTGGACTTACCGATGTGCTGATCGGCCGGTAGTCATCGGAAGAGACTTCAATGCTTAGGCAGTGGAGTGGGGAAACAGATGTACCAACGCAAGGCTGTTCAATAAAGGCACCACCAGCACTTTTCGCAGAGATGGTCAG